ATCTCCCTAGTTCTAGACGTACTCTTCAATTTGTAAGATGTCAAAAAGATTGCATTCAATTGTTGTGAACGTAAAATAAGGAAAATCCAATTTTTCCCATTTTGTGATGCTTGTTTGGGCACCTCAGGCGCTCCCAGAAGTGGTTGAGGCACGCACCTCGCGTGGTTTCAACAGCCAAACAGTTTTTTATATTTTTGTTATAACTTTCTTTCTCAATATTTGATTAAGGCGATTCGAAGTGCACGGGAAAACTAATTCAAAGGGCCACAATTCTTCTAGAATTATCATTTTTCTAATTCCAACGTTTTTTATGCCAAAAATGGGTCTAAATCTGAAACTCAAAATTTGGAACATAACTTTTTCGGTTAAAAATTGATGTGCGATAATACTTTGACTATATTTCACCAATTTGACTTCATTTCTCATCCAATTGACCCCTAGCACAACTCTAATCTTTATCTTGAAGTCCGAATGACAAGATAAATTATAGATCGATGGAGTACAATTTTTGAGTATTTGTACTTTAATTCCTGAACTTTGATCTCTTTCAACCTAACCAAGTTTCACCTTTTTTCTCCAATTTTCCGTTTGTTTTTCAATTCTTCATGCAATCATCAAGTTCTACACGTTAAACACAACATAATACAAATTAGGCCATAAATCGAAGGCAAATTTAAAATAATAAGTCAAGACAATAACATAATAAAGTAATAATCAATTATATATAAAAATTACAATTAATTTATACATACACATATGTCAAAGACATATAAATAGTACACAAATTCATAGAATATTAGAATTATATGCAATCAAAGAAAGTGGATTATTACCCGCTGATTTCACTTATATAGCCAAAAAGTGAAAAAAAAAAAAAAAAAAAAAAAATCTTTTGTGAACCGAAGATGGATGAGAAATTTAGAATAAGGAGATCCAGTGGCAACCCAAGATTGAAAACTCTCAATTTTGATTCAGAATACTTAATGGAGAATTGAGAAAAGTTCAATTGGTTTAAAAAATTGTGGATGGGCCTGTGAAATTTTAGCTCCTGCTTGGGCTGCATATTATTCAAAGTACATTTTTCTTTCTTGTTTTCAATCACATATTTTTCAATAAAATAATATTATGCCTAAATTCAAAATTTTCCTTCTTTTTTAACTACACACTCTTCAAAAAATCACTATTCCAAAATATATTTTTTTCCCCAAAATTTTGATTTTAATGGAGCTCGAACAAGGGCTTAATTGGGTCGATAAGAGACTAAGGATATGGATGGCCTGTGAGACTTTAATTTCAGGTCTATTAGTAATTTAATTTTGGTTTTTAAAAAGTAGCTTTTACAAAAAAGGAAACATAACTCTTTTTGAGCTCCCTAAAGAGTCAGGTCTAAGACAATGGTCTCTTGGGCCTCTTCTCTAGTCCGACTCTGATAGTGGGCTAGTGTAAGCCCTTTAAATATTGACATGCGCAGTGTTATATGCACACCTTGCACTCATGCTGAGATTTTGTGGATATGTGTGTTGATGGTGCACACTTCGAATTTCAGAGTAAGGAAAATGTGAGTTTCAATTTGTAGAAATGATGCTTCAATTTAGTTGGTGTCAAAGTGTTGCGGATTGACAAGGTATGGACGGATCCAGCTTGTTGTTAGTGTGCTTTAGTCCACAAATTCAGGTGTCCAAATTGGGTACATGTTTGACATATTTGTTGGACAGTTTTCATGGTCCACACAGGTGGAAAGTATGGACAATGGCTGGGAATGGTTGAAGAAAACAGTTTCTGGCAGTTCTAATCCTACTGGGTAGGTTTATCCCTGTTGCAGTTAAGGGTGTTAACTGCACACAAATTTTGTTCTATATAGTTGGAAGGCTGGACTGATGAGATACATAGTGTGTTGTGTTGCTTCAGTATTCCTTCATTTTTTTGTGTTATTGTGGAGTAATAAATTAGTTGAGTTTTACCCGTAAACCAATGTGTTCCTTTACATTATTGCATTTATCTTTCCTTGGGTGCACTGTGCAAATTCGTGGGCTGATTGAGTACCTCAGTGCCTTCATAGACGAAAATTTGGCCAAGTATTTTACCCAAAATTCGTCCATGTGATAGCTAGATATATAATATTAATTAAGCTTTCGTTTGTTAAATTTATAAACATTTATAAAGGGTAATAGTGGTAGATTTTACGAAATGTACAAACAATAAATGAATAGTAATTAGGAATGCATAATTGCAATTAATGTTTTGACTTTGATTAAATTTATAAACTATTTATAAATTGACAGCCGAACGGAGGCTAAATCTTAGCATGCAAGGGTCCGTTTGATTGTAAGGTGGAAAATTGGTGGAAAGAAAATGATTTCCAGGGAATGTAATTACCTAGAAATTGCTTTGTAAGAAATTGTTAATTAAGTGTGTTTGATTGGTATAATTTTTCACCAGGAAAATTTTAAAATTTTCTATTCGCTTGACTTTGTTTTACATGGAAATTGTCCATTAAATTGATAATTTTTTCCACAATTGGTTATAAAATTTGTTTCCATTGCCAAAAAGACAAAATAATAATAATAATAATAATTTCATCAAAATTCAGTGTTCGTTTGGCTTTGTTTTACATGGAAATTGTCAATTAAAGTAGAAAATATTTTCCTAATTCCATAGAAAATTCCGCAATCAAATGGGGCCTAAGATTTAAATGAACTTTTAGAGATATATAGAATCCTAATTTAAGTGGGATTAAATTGATTTCAATAGGAATTATTTAGGATGCTCTGTATGCCTATAAACAGGACTCTAATAATCCATAACTAAGTACGATAGCAAGAACAAGAATTCTACAAACTCTCTCTCTCTCTCTGTTATACAGATTCTTAAATTAGAGTTATTAAGCTGTGGAGATTTGTGGCTGTTAAGTAACATTTAGAGATTGTGAGATGTGAATATCATGGGACTATCATAAGGTTTTGGGCTTGAAGATTGTAGATTCGATCCTATACCACCATACATACTATCTACTATCGCTTTTTTGAGCCCCCATGGCACATCTTCAAGTGGTAAAAGGGGAAGGTGGAAAAGCTCCAGCTTTGCTTAAGGCTGCCGCGTCAAGGGTTCGAATCCTGAAATATGGATTTGGCCCTTGGATAAGTGTAAGTGTACAAGCAGCCTTCCACCCTATACTCTTGGAGGCATAACCTGCGATTTACCTCCTTCACCAAGACCTAAGGCAGGGTAGGTGGGGGCCGTTAAGGATGCGGTTCATCCTTTTTTTTTTTTTACTATCGCTTTTTTGAAACCTTTTCCCTATCTTCTCTAGCAGTAATACTTAAGGTTTATTTTTACTCCTGTTTGGATCTGATTCTTCGATCTATAAGAAAGGTTCAGCCGTTCAGGGAATCAAAAACATTTGATGGTTTTTCGACTTAAAAAGTGGCATAGATTAATGTGGTCAAATTGTCCATGACTTAAATTGGATCTCATTTATTTAGGATAGCTAAATAATGTATAAAAATAATGGTTTTTAATTTAAAAATGTGAAATTAAAAAGTTCATGATAAATTCACTTTTTTTTGTTAAAGTTAATTACTCTATAAGCTTGTTCTTACCAAACATTTTCCTAGAATGTAAGAAGTTAGGAATGTATCTAATTAAGTGAAGGCATGGATGGAGAGAAATTAAGAGCTTGTTTGGGAGGGATTAAAATCGGATTAAAATTGAAAAACTAATCTTTATTGTTGACTTTTATTAGATGAGTGGCACCCAATAACGACTATATTTTCAATTTTAATTGGATTAAAATCTCTCCCAAACAAGCTCTAAAACATGTCCAATATAAGATGGAAGACTAAATTATACTAATATATGAAGAATTTTTCAGTTGTCTTGTGCAATACTAGAGATGGCAATGGGGCGGGTTCGGTTCGGGGCGGGGCACCCTCATCCCACCCCGCCCCGCCACTCCCCCACCCCGTCCCGCCCCGTGCCCCGCACCACCTTAGACGGGGCGGGGCGAGTTCGGGGCGCGGGCTTGCCCCGTTTCTTGTCCCGTTTCTTTTTTCTTTTTTCAAAAACTTTCAATTAATTATTTTTTTGTTTTTAATTTGTACTTAATAATTTTTTTTATTTTTCACGGGGTGCTTCGGGGCGGGGCACCCCATCCCCGTCCCATCCCACTAATCCTTCGGGGCGGGTTTTTTTTCGTCCCATACGGGACGGGGCGATGCCGGGGTAGGCCTGGACGGGTTTTTTTGCCATCACTATACAATACGAGTGAGATATGTGAGAATTTTTTTTTAGTTTTTGTGTTTAATATCTTTCATATCACTTATCAAATCTTGCGCGAATTAAGCATCTTACTTCTTTGTGTAAAATAATTGTAGATAAGAAATTCCAACCAACCGACAGAGAAGGAGAAGCATAGATTAATTTTCTTGGCATGGAATTGAAGGGAAGCAAATAGGTTTGGCAGTCAAAAGACTCGCTGCAATACCACACACACTAACCATGATTACACACACTTATGCATAGATATATATTATTATCCGCCATCCGTTTGGTCGATAGATCGGCGGTGCCACCAATCAAACTTGTAGACAAAGTCTCTTCCACTTGTCACGTACTCTCCATTTACACTCCTATTTTCCTCTACCTCTAACTCTCATTCAAAAAACCATTGCTGTAACTAAAAACTAGGAGTAATAATCCTTTTCACCGCACACCATTACAACAACTTCTGCTACAAGAGTAAACTACATCCCTGTCGATACAAACAACTACGACAAACTAAGTTTTATTCCCGAGGGCTACATGATTATTCTTTTCACTTCTTTCGTTTATTATTCGATGTATAAAGCTACTATATTTTTGTGCAATTTTTCTCGTTAATTTCAACTTCTTTTTCTTTTTCTTCATTTCCCAGCTCAGTATTAGTTCCCATATTCATGGCTTGCATTGAGGACCAAGAACAAAATTTTAAGTATTTTTGTAGGGTATGTAAAAAAGGTTTTATGTGTGGGAGAGCTCTTGGTGGGCATATGAGAGCACATGGGATTGGAGATGAATGTGTAAATCATGGTTATCATGACGATGATACTACAAGTGATTGGGAGGATGAAATTGGTGGGAATGATAGGCCGAGTAACAAGAAAATGTACCAATTAAGAACAAACCCAAATAGGATAAAAAGTTGTAGGAACTGTGAGAATTGTGGAAAAGAGTTCTTGTGCTGGAAATCCTTCCTTGAACATGGAAAATGCAGATCGGTTGATGCCAAGTCCCTCGTGTCCTTGCAAGAATCTGAAGGCGAGGAGGAGGACGGAGGAAGAAGAGGTGGCGGATGGTCCAAAAGAAAGAGATCTTTGAGGACGAGTGTGGGTAGTTTTAGTTCAGCATATTCGTCAAGTGAGGAGGAAGATCTCCTTCTTGCCAAATGCCTAGTACAATTAGCCAACACAAGAGTGGATCCACCAGTACCACCAATGGCTGAGCCCGAAGAGTTCTCTAACTCGACTAGGAAGGAAGAAAGGCTAAGGATGAATATTCGGATGGCATATTTTGATCATGATCACAAGCCTAAAGGTGTTTCCAATTCTAAATTAGGCTTACTGTTTGAATGTAAAGCATGTAAGAAAGTTTTTAATTCCCACCAAGCATTAGGGGGACATAGAGCAAGTCACAAGAAAGTTAAAGGATGTTATGCAGCCAATCAAGATGACAATTTAGCAGACGAGGACGATGATGCGATAACACATGGACAAGTCATCATACCTAGCAAGTCAAAAGGGCATGAATGCTCGATTTGTCACAGGGTTTTTACATCGGGACAAGCCTTGGGCGGGCACAAGAGAAGCCATTGGATCAATTCCAATTCACATGCTGAAATTTTTTCATTTGCCAAGTTCCAGTTTCATCATCACCATGATCAGCGTGGTCCTCATCCACGTCAAGTGATCCATAAAACTGAGGCACTCGATCTCAATCTTCCGGTACGTACAGACACGATCGTGAACAAGCAGACATTAAGATGAAGTTAGCCAAATTGAGTGACTTCAAGGACATGATGAACATTGCCGGCGATTCCTCCCAGTGGTTACAAATTGGTTCAACAACTATATATGCTGCTAACCCATAATCTGTTCTAGAAATCATAGCTGCAAATTGTAAATTTTTTATTGATACACCATACATAGAGGTACAAAAATACACCATTTCGAATGGAACAGTCACATATGTTGTTCAGGACTGTTCATCAGGTTTTGAAATTGTGTTCATCAAATCTAAGGTACAGGCGAATAGGAACTATGTACAAATCTGAGGTGCAACTAGTAGGAACTATGTACAAATCTTTAGTTCTTTTTCTGCATATCTTACCAAAAGGTTTGTACTGTTCATGTAACTAGTACCAAAGGTTTGGTAATGTCATTGCAACTATTACAAGAAGTTTGATACTTATGTTGTGACTCATTAAAATGTTTGGTACCATCTACAAAACGTTTGGAGCATTAGTTAATCTTTAATTTCACATTAAGGCCTTGTTTGAACCACTTTTTTATAGAATGAGAATGAAAAATATAGCCGTTATTAGAGTCCACACAAAAGATAAAAAATTTGACTTTAAATGATGTAATGGATAACGGTCATATTTTTCATTTTAATGAGAAAATAAAATGGCCCAAACGGGAGCTAAATAAAGGGCAAAAAGAGAGAAATGTGAAAGTCAGTACCAACAATAATACATAAAGCGGAACTTCATTTCAAGGAAAAAGGTAACCACATTTTACATCCAACATCTAACACAAAACCCTCACGCCAAAACCCTAAACCCAAATTTCTGAAGCTAAAAACGCTCATTCCAAAAACACATCCTACATACCTAGCTACTTATTTGAGAAGACTTAACATTTGATGAAAGATTATCAGTTTAGTCTGGTCCTAGAGGTTGACGCAATTAAAGAATTGGAGAATCTTTGTTTATTGATGTGTTGACTTACAATTAGTAAAGTTCACCTGAAATAGGGAGGGTATTGACAGTAATAAAAAATTCAACCTTAGATTGCACACTAGAGAAAAAGTGAAAAGAATAAGTTTGAGTTTGTGTGAATCATATGAAAGGTGAAATGATATATTTGGCCACAGAGGGTAGGGAATTGAAGCAACCTGTAAATTCATGATTGTCTACTTAGTTCTTCACACACACGTCGATTTCGCATTGAAAGAGGGGTTATTGGTCTGACATTGTGACTTTGAAGCGGTTTGTAGATTTACTACTATGATTTCAAATCTTGAGGTAAAAGCTAGATTGTCTAACAATATATTTTTGTATGCCTGCATGTTTATTGTTATTTATGTTATAGTTTTGTTTGAGGACAAACAAATAATTAAATTTGGGGGTGTTTGATTGATATTTGGTAATTCTTCTGACAAAATATATTCTAAATTTTTGTATTTTCTGCTATGTAGATAAAACTCAATGGTTGAACGAGAAATCAAAAGAAGGAAGCGAAAAATGGTGAAAAATGGCAAAATTCAAAGTTTGAGAACCAAATTGTAAATATTCAATAGTTGATTCGGACACAAGAAGATACCTTGAAGATTTTTAAAAGACAATTGGATGGAATTAGAACTCAAAAAGAAATGTGATATGATCAAAATATTATCAAAATCAATTTTCAATTGTATAAGTTATATTCCAGATTTTTAACCGAATATTGAGGCCCATTTTTGGCACAGTAAATATCCGAATTGGAAAATTTCCACTTCTATCAAAGTTGTAGCCCTTTGAATTATAACGCCCTTTGAATCGTTTCAATCGAATATAGAGAGAGAAAGTTATTGCCAAGATACTGATTGCTTTGCAGTGAAAAAAAAAAAAAATCGCGCACGAAAACAACTTTCCTTATTTGATTGGAACTCTTTTGAAAACCAATTTGGATATGATTTTCAACCAATTTTCTACTTCGACAAATATATAAAAGCATAGTACATATTTTAGACCATTGTGAGAGAATTAAAGGGGATTTGCAAGAATTCAATTAAGTGAAAATTCAAACTTGATTTTTGGACAAAGAAGAGAAGACACAAGTGAAGATTCATCAAGAAATCACTGAAAAGATTCAAAATTTCAAGATTCATCTTCTCAATTTATCAAAAAATTTGAGTTATGTCTTTTTAATCAAATATGATTTCTTGTAATTTCGATATATTATGCTAGTTTTATACATTGTTGGGATGAGATGAACCTTTGTTTTGAAATTTTTAATATTAATTAATTATTTTGACGACTAGTATATTTATTTTCTTGAATGTTTATTATTGTTTTCACTGACTTTTATATTAATTAATTAGTTAATAATTGAGATGATTTATTGGAATCTATTATTATCGAGAGATATATAAGTTTTTAGCTAAAAATAATAAATATTGTTAAGTTCGATAGGGGGATAGAGATATACCTCTATACTTTACGTGGTTTTCATAGGTGTTCTAGATCGTTAAATGTATTTATCATGTTCGCATCTTTCATCGAGAGATAGTAATGTCACATGAGGGGAATAGATTTGATAACTATCGAGAATAGATCGTTTAATACATTTATCATATTTGCATCTTTAATCGAGAGATGGAAAAGTTACATGAGGGGAATAGATTTGATAACTATCGAGAGAAGTTTTCAATTACATTAGAAACATTGACCAACAAGAATGACTACAAACCGTCACTTTAATTTGTTGCGCTAAAAATTGATTAATAAGAGGGATTCGACATTTTAGAAATACTTTCACATATTAAATAAAAAAAGTTAAATTGCTTTCTATTTTAATCGATAATTTAGATATATATTAGTATAGAACACTCAAAACCTATTTCCTATTCGATTAAGATTGCTATTAATTTGAACTCAATTGAATACTTAGTCCTCGTGAGTTCGACGCTCTACACACTGCTATATTACTTGTTCACGATCCTGTTCACTTGCGAGAACTCAAACAAATAGGACCCATCAACAGAAACCACCCAGTTTAACAAGTTATTTTCAGCTCTGCCGTTGGTCAGTTTTCTAATAAGATCAACTAAAGCTTATGTCTGTTGGTGGTCGTTGACTGAATTCTACGTCAAACTTTTATATCTGATGACTCATTTTAAAAGTATGCCAGAGGTATTGCTAGATATCTTGTGCTATCATGTATGACTAAATGATATACTCAATTAAATGTAAGGATATAGCGTATCTAAACTGATATGAAACAACATATGTGATAGATAGTATTAATCTATGTAATATAATGAAAATTGTTTATATTTCATGAATCCCAGCTAAATTCATGCTATTTGCTGTGAGAAATTTAGCATCAAATTTTCAAGCATATTATGGCACGTCTTTAATAGATTCTTTATTCTAATAATATAGCGATGATCTTCCTGAATTGTGAGAATGTTATTTTTCGATTTATTAAAGGTAACTATTTCAACTTTTTACACTATAAAATCCAGCCGTGTACCACAAGATTAAGTATTAACACAGATAGTTAAATCATTAGTATTTTTGAAATTAAATTAGCAAAATGTTTACTCATCAAATCCCTCTACCTTTTTCTCTTTTAAGTATCCTAACTATTTTACTCCTAAATAATTATTTTTGTTTCATAAATGCAAAATCACTCAATTTTTCTAATGCTGCAGCTTTTTCACCAGCTATTGCAACATGGTATGGGAGCCCTAAAGGATTTGGAAGTGGTAAAATTTTACTTCATGCATGCTGGAATTAAAAATAGAAAATTTTAAAAATTATTTTCAATATCACTATTTTTTTATGTTGTTTTGTTCGATCTTGATGATTCGTTTAATTTATTTATCAGTAATGAGATATATATTCATATCCAATGTTTCATTACTAGATGGAGGCGCTTGCGGATTTCGAAGCGATGTAAAAAATGCCCCATACAATGGATTGATATCTGCTGGAAATGAAAACATATACAAGTCAGGGGCAGGTTGCGGGGCTTGTTATCAGGTGCTGAGATTAATTTTAATCATTTATATGTATTAATTTCTTCTTTTTTTTCTTTTTCTTTTTCTTTTAACATTGTGGAAATCATTTAATGTTCTCCATTTGGCGAATTTATAAATGCTTTATAAGTCAAAATAGTAGGAGGAATAATAGCAGGTTCAATGAAATGTTCGAATAGTAATGAGAAGTAATTATGAATATCTTATTGAAATTAGGCCATGTTTGATTGTAAACTTTTCCATGGAAAGTGTCAAATCCGAGGAAAATGAATTCTACTTTGACCGTTTGATTGCAACGTGGAAATGAAAATCAAATTCCAAAGTATAAGCACTTTAAGCTGCATTTTCTTTATTTTCATGGAAAACGAATTTTTATGAGTTTGGTGGGTTTTTATTTTCCAACTAACATGGAATTAGAATTCTTTTCCACTTTTGCCTATCAAACGGACCCTTAATGTTTGTCTTTGATTATATTTATAAACCAATTTATTAAGTGTATCCAAACGGAGGCTTAGTAAGTGCAATGTATTCATATTATGTTCTTTACAAATGTATATTAGGTAAAATGTACAGAAAATGCAGCATGCTCAGGAAATCCAGTTACAGTAACCATTACCGATGAGTGTCCTGGTTGCAGTGACGCTCGTTTTCACTTTGACGTAAGTGGGAAAGCTTTTGGATACATGGCCAAGCCTGGTCTAGCCAATACATTACGTGGAGCTGGAAAAATCAGCATTCAATATCAAAGGTGAACTTTTATTAAATAAACGAGAATTCACCTGTCTAGTTTTCTACACATTAATCTTAACAAATGACGTGAACTTATCGATTGTCTTTATAGATTCTGTCCTGTACATGTATAACGTTTTCCTATATTTGGATTTTGCAGAGTTCCATGTTCGTATCGTTCCACAAAAATAGCTTTTAAGACTGACCCTGGTTCTTACAACCCCGACTATTTATCCTTTGAAATTGAGTATGTAAATGGAGATGGTGATCTTGCTTCAGTTTACCTAATTCCTTCAAAAACAAATAAAATGATTCCAATGCAAAGAGCATATGGTGCAACATGGAAAGCTCAAATTCCCCGAGGCAATTTTGGCCCATACTCTGTGAGGCTCACTACTGTTGAGTCCAGAAAATCGATTGTGGCCGCAAATGTGATTCCAGCTGATTGGAAATCAAACGACATCTACAGATCAAAAGTGAATTTTTGATTCAGAAATTTATTATTTCCAAATAAAATCAACAGTTATGTCATCTGATGATTTTTTTCAAATAAATAGTGAATTGCCAGGAATTATTTAATGATTGGTGTTCAGTTTTAATACTTTCAATTACATATTCACATCTTTTTTATTCTTCTGTTGTACATTTACGTTTGTGATTTAGATGCGGGATTACAAGGCAAATGGACCAAAATCACAAAAATAAACCACTTGTAAAGATTAAACGGATTAAAACAGAATGATGTTTAACAATTTTTTTTGATTGTAAGAGCCTGAAAGCGTCCCGCTTATGCATAGGAGGAGCATTGTACCCGAGTATACAATTTGTCTGTAAATTATTATAAGCGCTATTAATGAAAGATCACACTATAAATTTCCATATAAGGGAGTCAAATTTGTAAAGAATTTGTGACTTGGCATGAATTAACATCAAACCTAATAATTTATGCGGGCTCACACTAATAAATAAGATAAGCTAGAATAAGAAAAGTGGTTAGCCTATCGGTGACCGGCTTTCAAAAAGCACATTTGGGTAGAGGTTTCTCGATTATATTATTCTCCTACTACATATAAATGAAATAATATAGGTGCCCACACACAAAATGTGCCTTCCAATAATAGTATTTCAACCTCGGGCAACAAACGAGAATTTAAAAAAAATTTGTTCCGTGTTCTCATGAGTCTGCACTTCGTGTCCATCAACTTCATGTAATACCTTGTTCCCATTGTTCGAAGCACTGACTACAGACCTACGATAAAATTTTCACTTCATCCCTGGACCTTGAGAACGGGCACCAACAGAGTTCGCAATGCACTTGACAAAGAAACCCGTCCACAGAGTCGACAATAAAATAAAAAGAAATCCCTCAATTTGCAATAAAATCTGTCATTAGTATTTGTTAGAATTGACACTATAAGAAGTCACAATAGGTAATCTCTTCTGATAATTCAGATGAAGGCAAAACTAATATTTCATCCTCAAACTTCAACTGCGAAAATTCATTATAAAAATTGGTTACATTCCTCTAGGGGTACCAACCTTTCCGTTTGTCCCATCCCATGTCCTCAACTTTCCGTTTGGGCCATCCCATGTGCCTAACATTTTAAAATTCTACGTGCGGTATCCTTTTCCAACGGAAACCGTCTATCGAGATTGCAAACGGGCATGCAAGGCACACGATAAATGAATGGCGTGTATAATTATCTAAAAATATTTCCCTCCACTTTGAAGACCTGGTGGATGGATATTGATGATACAATTTATTTCCTAGACCCAACCAAGAGAGATATGGATCCCCAACTTGCTTGATCCATCACGCCTGTGGTGGTCCATCTTGCTTGGGTCAAGCCCCATTTGAGATTAATTTTAGAGCTCCTACAGATACATCAAATTTCTTCATTTCTTCGAGGAACTCAAGCTCACATTTCTTCAATTCGTCATTTGTTATTTCATTGAAATTGATGCAACGAGATAAAGGTATTCATACTTCCACTAGACTCATGGCTTCATCTCCGTAAGTCATGGAAAATGGGTTTTCTCCGGTTGTAATTCGGTAGGTAGTGCGCATAGCCTAGAGAACTGAGGAAGCTTGTCAACCCATGCCCCATTCGAAGCATCAAGTTTCCTTTTCAGGGTATGTTTGATAGTTTTGTTGACCGCTTTGACCTGGCCATTGGCTTGGGAGTGATGAGGCGTTGAGAAATGTTTCTTGATCCCTAACTCATCATATAAGTCCTAATTTTCTTATTGTCGAACTGTTTGCCGTTGCCAAACACAATAGAGAGGAGGATACCAAACCTGTTGATAGGAATATAAAATACACATTTTGCATCTTTATTTAATGCGCTCATATGACTATTTTATGCCTAAATATACTTAATATTCTCATATTTTGGTTTAGGTGGCAAGTTGATGGATATAGCGTAATTTGGAAGAAATATGTGAAAATGGACCAAAGTGAAAGGAAATGAAAGTTCAAGGACTAGCGTGCAAATACACAAAAGTTGTGTCAAACCAAACAATGAAGATTTGAGAGTCAATTGCTTGAAAGAAGACGTCAAATGGATGAAATATCGTCAAAGTATGATCACACATCAATTTCCAATCGAAAAGTTATACACCGATTTTCAGCCTCATATTGAGACCCATTTTCGACATGGAAAACGATCGAATTGGAAGATCATATCTGAATAAAAGTTGTAGCCCTTTGAGTTATCTTTCCAACGCATCTTGAATCGCCTCAATCGGATATCGGGAAGAGAAGATACGACCAAAACACTGAAAGCTGTTCGGAGGAAATTTCGTAAAACCATGCGGCCGCAAGCCTTTAATTCCATGCGGCCGCATAGACCATTACCGAGAGTTTGAAGGTTGAGTTTATTTGTTCCTTGCGGCCGCAAGCCTCTAAACCATGCGGCCGCATGGTTCATTTCCGATACGAAAATTCTGGTTTCCTAATTTAAGTCAACTACCTATGGAAACAACTATAAATACATCTTTTAAAACCCTAGAACGGAGCAGAACGCCTCCAACCTATTTTCTCTCTATTTTTCTTAGATCTATCATGTGTAACTAAACTTCTACGCTTGGTCGAAGGAAACGGAAGCCTCGGAACCACATATTGTGAGATCTAAATAGTTTTTCTTATTGTTTGATTTATATTTTGAGTATTGAATGTTCTTCTGCATTTATTTCTATGATTTGTTGCGTTTAATTGCTAGAGGGCCCGCTAGTTTATTGATTGTAACAATCTACCGCTAAGTTAAACATCAAATCCGTAATTGTTTGATCTCTTTAACTTGTGAAGCACTAGGATTTGATAATTGTCTGCGATAGAGGTTATTGAATCTTAAGAAGAATGTTTAAATAGATTGAATGCAACCGCTGGTGTTTGTGTTATCTAGTTCATCGATTTCTCTATTGTGTAAAGCTGTTATTAAATTGAATCTTGAGCGCTGGTCTGGGGTTATTTAATAATTAGGGTTAATTAGAACGCTGGTTTCTAATTAACTAAAATTAAGGAGAAATAGGAATCAATTCCAACGATGAATATTCGAAATATGAATTGAATTATCCTTGTATCTATGATCAATTGTGGATTTCCGATGGTGGATGTGGACTTAGACCAAGGTTAGTCATTTGATTGATTTCGTTAATTTAATTTTCATTGTTATTGATTATGTTATTTACAATTGTTGCATACAAAAACCCCCCAATCATTGTACGAAGCATAAAATATTGAATTACACACTCTTCGTGGGATCGACCCTTACTTCCACTACTACATTAGTTTTAGAGGTTTAAGGACTATTTTTGGGTGCCTACGACAGCACACCAAATTTTGGCGCCGTTGCCGGGGAGTGGTGCTAATTTATTTTTGTGCTTCTTTAGTTATTTTATTTATTTTTGAAAAAAAAATCATAATTTTCTAGGTTTTTAAGCAATTTATTGTTTTTAGGAATTTTAGCATAGAATTTTATTTGTTTTTCTTATTCTAGTTTTTTTTATTTATTTTTTAACTTGTTTGTCATTTTTTTTGAGTTTCCTTGATAGTTTGAGGAACTTGATTGCAACTATGGCCGCCAATTCTCAACAATTCGGCACTAGACTCGACATGCCATCGAAATATGTTAATGAGGTAAATGTCTCATCCATTGAACAACAACTTGCGAGTCTAACTACTCTTATTTGTCGAATGGTTGCAGGTAATGTGCAAACAGCGAATGCATGTGGAATTTGTTCATTGGTAGGCCATCCAACTAATATGTGCCCAACACTTCAAGAAGAATTCATTGAACACGTAAATGCAACCGGTAGCTTTCTTGGACAACCACAGAAGAATTATGATCCATATTCAAACACGTACAACCAAGGATGGAGGGATCATCCAAATCTTAGCTATGGGAATCGACAAGTGAATCAACCTATGAATCAAAATTGGCAGAATTTTCAGCAATATAATCAGCCATACCCTCCTAGACAACAACAGGACCAAACTTCTAACTCTGGTATGTCTTTAGAAGATATGGTTAAATCTATAGCCACTAACACTTTACGATTTCAACAGGAGAGAAGGGCTAGCATTCAATGTTTGGAGAATCAGATAGGTCAAATGGCTAACGCGGTCAGTCGGTTGGTGTCACAGAATGCGGGAAAACTACCCTCTCAAACGGTAGTAAATCCAAGGAAAAATGTAAGTGCAATCACGTTGAGGAGTGACATGAAGGTTGAAGTTCCAGTAAAGACATCCCCTACATCGTCTGAGCAAAA